AAAAAAAAAAAAAGCAACTGAGTGTAGGAAACCAATTAGGAAGCTGCCTAGCATTTGGAAGAGAGAATTTATGAAATATCAATATAAGGCAATTGAGAAGACCAGCTGACACTCACTAGGTCTAAACACCCTACTTGACTCTTTTCTTGCAGCAGTTCATTGAATGCTCACAATAACTGCATGAAAAAGTTCTAACTCTTAATTTTATAGATAAGAAAATGGGCGTGGAAAATTAGGAAACTTGCCCTGGCTCACACAGCTGATAAGCAGTGGTGTCAGAGTGTGTTTTCATCCTGGCCGGCTGCTTCCAGAGCCTGGATTCTTAGCCATGATGCTGCACAACTAGATCATGATAGAGAGGAAGATTCCTCCAGAGCCTCAGGCTTTGTCTGTGGCTGGGATGTTACTTCCATGAAATGCCATTTCTCTGATTCTCTTTTCCCCTTGCTGATTCTTTGTTTCCTTCACTGTGAATTGGATTCTGCCCCTTCTTTTTCTAAACACTTACTCCTTTGGGGTTTGTTTTCCTAATGGCTTCCTTTATCAGCCTTTATGTTGATCTGACCCCAATCTCTTCATTCCAGTCCGTATTTCTTGATCACATTCCCAAAGGCCATCTGCACTTGCCTATCCTGTCATCATTTAAAACCCAAGTCTGAAATAAAATGCATCTTTTACTTCAGTTTCACTTGATGTTTTCTGTTAATAACAAAATGTCTTCCTTGCTTTAGAATATTTGACCCTCAAATTTCCCCTTGCATGCCCTATCCAACAATTCTTAGTGAATTCTATAGCATTTTCTCTTAGATTTACCTCCTCTCCTTTATAAGCTTTGCTCCCAGCCTGGTGTTAGCTCTCAATATCTCCTGCATTTTTTCCCTAACTTATTCCCCACATTTAATCTCCTTATATTATCCACCCTGTGTACTAATGCCAGAGTAAACTCTTGTTCAGACACTGATTTCATAATTTACTACTTTACTTTTATAATTTACTTTGCTTTTTGAGTCTACTAAATCAACCCTGATCTGTCCTCTGCCACAATTTGATGGCTCTCCATTGCCTGATTCCCTTGCTTTATCAAATTCCCACTCCTCTGAAACTGGAACTCTCCACTCTGCTCAATTGTCTTGCTACTGTCATCCCTTCCTCCAGCACCCTCTGTGTGTGAGTACATGCATACACGTACCATGTTCATTCCCATCAAAGCTGTTGCAAATACTGTTGCCTGGCCTAGAATGCTCTTGCCTTTCTTCCAGTCTCATATCCCAAGTGACTCTTTTCCTAATGATTTCAAGATACAGTCAAATCTCTATTCTCCAACATTTGAGCTTATTACCACTGCAGAAGAAATGTCTGTAATTACATTCTCCAAATGTCTGTGCTAAACGATGTGCAGTTGATTGTCTTTAGTATCTAAAGCTGTTCTATTTACTAGTCCAGTTATACATCTTGCTTTCCCAACAGGATAAGCTCTCTTCAGTTTAAAATTATGTCTTCTACTTTTTTATATTCATAAAGCCAGTGATTATACTCAATAAATTCCTATCATTGGCTGAAACTATAAACACATGTAATGTGTGTGTGTGTGTGTGTGTGTGTGTGTGTGTGTATCACTGTAGACTTAGTAGTTCTCTTGAGTGGTAGTAAAATTTAGTTACTATTCTCTCATTTTATTAAGGACCTGTTTCATTTACGGAATTGAAAATGCAAATAATCACAAATGTTTAAGACTTTCAGCTTTGTATATCTAAACTACTACAGTTATACCTTTTAGGGTAATAGTTTTAATTATTCTAGGGGAAAAGAGAGAAAAACCCCTGAAGGGTAACAGTTTGAAATTGAACAGGACACCCTTGGGAAGGAAGAGGGTCACGGGTCATCCTCAAACAGACAAAAAACAATGGAGACGATTGTGCCTGAAGATGGTGTATTTTTTTTCACTAGACAGTGTGTTGACAGTTTCCTTCCTCTTGGGTCATTGTTGTCTGTTAAATGATCTGTGACAGCAAATTGATCACAAGCTTTTTCATGCAGGAGATATAATGCAGCCTTTCATTTTGTTACCTCCATTGCCAAATACCGTACATTTCGTTGGCAAATTAATGTTAGTTTAGCATATCATTTAGTAGTCTAGAGCACTGCATGAAGCTCTGGAAACAATAATAGTCATGATTAATTTATCTTCACCAAGTTTCAGATTTCTACTTAAGTGTGATTGCAAAAGTAATAACACATTGAAAAATATTAGTTTAAAATTAGGTGTCAGTAATTGTGGTTTAAATAAATGTATGCATTAACACATTTTGCTATTGCCCCCATTAATTTGAAAATTGAATCAAATATTTACTTTACAGTTCCTAGAATTTTCCTATAAAATTTAAAGCTAATTTACTTGTGTTAAGTGAAAAGTTGCTCCTTCTTCTTCCAAGGAGCTATTTAAATTGGGAAACAGGCATAAGGCCTTTTATATTTTATATTGAGGCATCCATTTAAGCCAGTTAATTGACAATGTCACATGTCTGAAAAATATCCCAAAGTGATGTTTCATTTATAGAGTGTTGAGAATCTCTTCATTAGGAAGGAAAAAAAAAATGTGTAGATACAGAGTTTCTGTTTGGGGTGATAATATTAGAACTGGGTAGTAGGGATAGTTGCACAACGTTGTGAGTATAAGTAAAGCTTCTCAACTGCACACTTAACAATGGTTAAAACTGAAAATGTTATACATACTTACCAAAATAAAATGTTTCTGTCTGTATGAAAAGAAAGTTGAAAATGCAGTAATTTGACTCCTTTTTAGTTCCTGTGTAATACTCTATAACAATTTTTGCTATCCCATTATGACACAGTAATGTTTAGCACCAGGAAGGAAACCTGTAGGCAGCAACACTTTTATGCAAATAATACATGCATTACACTATTTTCAAACCAAGCGCCTCCTCTTTAGTTAGTTTTGTGTGCCCACTACATACATTGTATGTGTGTGTGTTACATGTGAAAAACTGTTTTAGAAAAGTAATATTTTCCCCTCTTTGACAGTGGCTATCTTCTGTGTAAAATTAAACAAATCTTAATTCTGGTGTTTTTATTCTCTCATTATGATACAAAGGAAATAAAATGATTGTACTAAAATTTGGAATAGATGTTTAAGAAAATATTTCATTGTAGAATAAGAAAACTTAAAATGCTTTTCCTAATGTTCTTTTTTAATGTGAGTGAAGAAAGACAGATACTTTAAGACTGTATTTTTCTTTTTATAATATATGCATGAGTACACATTTATATTTATTATTCAAAAATCATTTGGACAGATGCCTTCTTTTGTGATTTGATGTTTTCTGGTGATGAATATATTAGATATACTGCAAAATTTGCAAAGAAGTCTGACATCTTGTGCACAAGATTCTTCTCGCTAAGCAGTCCACTCTGATAAAATAATTTTAAAAAGCAAATTTGCAAACATCTCATTTTCTGATTTTAATTTCTATTTCCAGGTCATTTAAAGATGTTTCATTTAACAATTACTACGAGTCATGGTCTGAAATAGCCACATCAAAAGCCACAGAATATTACAGAACTCCACGTAAGATGATGTAGCCTTAGCTTATGTCCTTTTGTTTTATATTAATCTCTTAATTATTCTCAGCTTGTCTAGCTTTCAAAGACTAATTGACACATATTTGCAGCATGAGGATGATAAACATTTCTGATGGCTCTATACATTTATTCATTCAGCAAGTATTCATTTTATATCCTCTTTTGTATAGAGCCCTGTAGTAAATAAAGTCTGATTAAAAGCCAAAAGGAAAGATAGTCAATTGGATAAAAGAAAGAATTCTCAATTTTATAAAGTTTATTTTACTACTTTCACCCTAGAAAGAAGCTTTCATACTAAGAAGAAACCTCTTTAATTCTAAACACAATTATTCTCTAAGCCAGAGAAAGCATTAAATAGAAAGACAGCAAGAAAACCTATGAACATAGCTAGTGGTATTCAATTATAGAGTCTAAGAAGAGAGACACATTTCTTACCATCATACTAAAACTCGTTGCTATTAAGTCAAGTCTGACTCATGGCGACCCATGTGCTACAGAGTAGAATTGTTCAGTAGGGTTTTCTTGGCTTTAAGATTTATGGAAGCAGTTCACTAGAGTTTTCCTCCACAGAGCCACTGAGTGGGTTCAGTCACAAACTGCTAGAGCCATCCAAGGACCTTTTACCATCATATATTATAAAAGACAAAATAACTGGATAACTTTCTTGTCCTATTCAATCAGATCTTCAGAGTACTATTTCATTATTTGAGTCAACATAGGTTCTCCAGTCCACACATGTTTACAGAAATGTGATTAGTTAAAATGGTGCATTCTAAAATTAGCAGTCACTGCATAATTCCCAATGAGCTCTGGTGGCATAGTGGTTAAAGCATTGGGCTGCTAACCAGAAGGTCAGCAGTTCGAACTCAACAGCTACTCCACAAGAAAAAGATGAGACAATCTGCTTCTGTAAAGATTTACAGCTTTGGAAACCATATGGGGTAGTTCTGCTCTATCCTATAGGGTGCCTACGGATTGGAATCAACTTGATGGCAGTGGGTTGCTGGGTGGTCCTAATTCTCAGATCCAATGATTAGTTTTTAGTCTTTATCTGATTTGAACTTTCCATCATACCTTTCTTGACCTACAGACAAATTATGTCCATGGTTACTCCCTTCCTGAGTGCTGCTCTGCCTCTTTCCTTAGCAATTCTTTCTTCATTCAGTCCTCTTTATGCACACTCTGTGGAGGACCTTACTCATGGCCATGTTTTTATTACCCCACATTCCAGTGATCCCTAAAGCCATATCTCTAGTCAGACTCCTTTTCTGAATTTTACATATATATTTAAATACTCATGGAAACAGCAGTCAAGAAAGCAGATATCATATTGCACTGGGCAAATCTGCTGCAGAAGACCTCTTTAAAGTGCTGAAGAGCAAAGATGTCACTTTGTAAACTAAGGTGTCCTTATCCCAAGCCATGGTATTTTCAGTCACCTCATATGCACATGAAAGCTGGACAATGAATAAGGAAGACTGAAGAAGAGTTGATGTCTTTGAATTGCGGTATTGGTGAAGAATATTGAAAATAATGTGGACTGCCAGAAGAATAAAGAAATCCATCCTGGAAGAAGTGCAACCAGAATGCTTCTTGGAAGTGAGAATTGCCAGATTTCATCTCATCTACTTTGGTCATGTTGTCAGAGGGACCATTTCCAGGAGAAGGATATCATGCTTGGTAAAGTAGAGGGTCAGCAAAAAAGGGGAAGACCCTCAACAAGATGGATTGACACAGTGGCTGCAACGATGGGCTCAAGTATAGCAAGGATTCTGAGGATGGTGCAGGACTGGGTAGTGTGTTGTTCTCTTGTACATAGGGTTGCTATGAGTTGGAACTGACTTGACGGCACCGAACAACAATATTTAAAATTGGGCATTGGACATCACAGCTACACATGTTATACATATCTCATACTTAAGATGCCCCAAAGTGAATTCATGATCTTCCCCCTGAAACCTGCCCTTCCTCCTTTATTACCTCTCTTAGTTAGTGGTAGAGCAACATTCTTATGCGTACTTGCCCAAGCCAAATCATAGAAGTTACCCTAGATTTCTTTGTCTCCCTTTTACACCTTGGTGATTTTATCTTCTGCCAGTCCGTGAATGCTTCTCTACCATGCCACTCCTATGACCACTGCCTTAATTTAGGGCCCTTTTGTATCTCATCACATCATTGTCATAGTCTCCTAATTGGTTTCAAGAGAGAGAAATATCAAACACAAAATAGTATTTAGTTTTATTAAGGCACTAATCAAGGGGGCTCTGGTGGTGTAATGCCTAAGGCATCTGACTGCTACCTAGAAGGCTGGAGGTTCAAACCCCCCAGCCACTCCTCAGAAGGAAAATTGGGCAATCTACTTCTGTAGTGATACTGCCTTGGAAACCCAAGGAGGGGTCTCTGTGAGTTGGATCTGACACGATGGCAGTGAGTTTGGTTTTGTTTGAATCAAGGCAAAAAGTGATAGGTGCTTAACAAACATATACATTAATATGTTGTTGCTGTTGTTTGATGCCATTGAGTCAGTTTCAATTCATAGCCACCCTATGTATAACAGAAAGAAACACTACAGTTCCTGCACCATACTCACAGCTGTTGCAGCCACTGTGTCAGTCCATCTCATTGAGGTCTTCCTCTTTTTACGGACCCTCTACTTTACCATGCATGATGTCCTTCTCCAGGAACTGGTCCCTCCTGATAACATGTCCAAAGTATATGAGATGAAGTTTCACCATCCTTGCTTCTAATAGAAGGAGCCTTCTAGCTGTACTTCTTCCAATTCAGGTTTGTTCATTCTTCTGACAGTCCATGGTATATTTAATTTGCTTCACTAACACCATAATTCACAGGCATCAATTCTTCTCTGATCTTCCTTATTCATTGTCCAGCTTTCACATGCAAATGAGGTGATTAAAAATACCATAACTTGGGTAAGGGGCACCTTAATCTTCAAACTTATATTTTTGCTTTTTAACACTTTAAAGAGTTTTTAAAAAAAAAAAGAAAAAGAAAAAAAAAAAGCAGACTTGCCCAATGCAGTATGTCATTTGCTTTCTTCACTACTGCTTCCATGGGCATTGATTGTGGATCCAAGTACAATGAATATATATAAGCCTCAGCTGCTAACTGAAAGATTGGCTATTTGAACCCAGTAGCCACTCCACAGGAGAAAGATGTGTCAGTCTGCTTCCATAAAGATTACAGCCTTGGAAACCCTATGGGGCAGTTCTACTCTGTCCTATAAGGTTGCTATGAGTCAGAATCGACTTGATGGCAACAGGTTTATAAAGATAGAGAGATACAGGTATGCATCACTTAACATCCACAATATGTTCTGTGAAACAGAACGCTATGTGATTTGGATGTTGTGCAAATCCCATATTAAAACCTTATGGGAGACCACTTCTAGTTGTCCTTGTTGGTGCAGCTGATGCTGCTAGAGTTGCTAGCAGAGATTAAGCCAGCAGATCAGGAACCCAGAGAATCAGGTGCCAGCAGTAACAGTGACTGAGAGGGAGGGGCAGGAAGTGAGTGGGAAGGGAGCAAAGTGCACCCAGCTCTGCCTGTTGTTTCACCTGCCAGAACAGTGGAGCGGCCCCAGCCCCACAGCTCCTGCTGCCATCACTGCCTGCCTGCTGGGCAAAGTCTGAGATCTTGCACCTAGAACCATGTCCTCTGCCTCACTTGCCTGCATCCCACCTGTGGTCCAGTGCTGCAAGAATTTGGGCTTGGGAGTCTTTATAACTATTATGTTGTTGTTGTTATGTGCCATCAAGTTGGCCCTGACTCATAGCGACCCCTCCTTGGGTTTCCGAGGCAGTATCACTATGGAAGTAGGATTGCCCAACCTTCCTTCCGAGGAGTGGCTGGTGGATTTGAACCACCAGCCTTCTGGTTAGCAGTCAAGTGTTTTAGCCACTATGCTACCAGAGGTCCTTATAACTATTATAGGAGAATAATAAAAAGAGAGCGCTTTCCCTTTAAAAACAAAAGCAAAACCTTATGGGGCCACAGAAATATATGCAGTCAGACATTGCCTAAATGGACATTAAGTGATGCATAACTGTATATATAAAAGCATGTTTTTGCTTGAGATCAATAACTTCTAAGAAATCACATGTTCTTGCGGGGCATTAGTTATTCATTTGATTTGCAATCACACATTCCCTTCTCCCTACTCATAGATTCGTAGTTAAGTATGCTGTTGAAGGTCTTTTTCAACTCTATCAGCATTAAAAATTTGATACCAGAATTTATGAATATTTGCTTCCTTCCAAAAATTTGTGTGTGGGTGCCTCTTAGCAAATTCAGTAAACATGTCTTAATCATCTACTATGTGTGACACACTAAGGAGCTCAGATGAGTTCTAAGATGCAATAGCCCTTAATTGCACAAACAGTGTTGACAGACATTGACACACTCTAGGGAACAACTCAGTGTCAAACTACCCCAATCAAAGGAAAAAAAAAAAAATATATAGGAGAGTACTTAAAAAATAATAATAATAATGCATGCAAAAGCATAAGGCAATTTAGGAAGGAATATCTTGCAGGAAAGAACAATTAAGCTCTTCCTCAGTTTCTTCCGCAAGAGTTTGACCCCAAAATGTTTAATTTTATGTTGTTTCTATATCTGTCACTAACCTAGTTTATAGTTCATCCCTCTTTTTGAAGGCAATAGCTGATAATGGTTATCTCTAGCCCAGAAGAATGTCTGAGACTTTGATTCTAGCACTTGGTGCCAGATTTCACAATCACCTTGCCTTTTTTCCCCTAGGGAATTGTTATAAGAATGTTTCAAGAGCTTTCTTTCAATAATAATCAGCACTTAATTTTAAAAATATTAAATGTAAACCTTACATGTGCTGCTGGCCATTTTGTCTTTGGATAGTTCAGCTGGACGAGATCCAATACTATCTCCTTTAACAGCCTAATTTCCTGGCAATAATGAAGATGAAGCTTTTAGATTATAGAACATTTCTTCAACATCTCAGAAATAAAAGAGCAACCTCTAATAACTTCATTTTCTGTAGTTAAGAGCTTTATCTTTTATGAGTAGTAGTGAGTGGTTATATTTTTATTTTTAGTATTAACTTTTTCCCATATCTTTGTGCCTGCAAATGTATATGTAGTCGTTGGTGCTGTAATAATGCTAAGTTATTATTCTATAATGTAATTTACAGAGTTTTCTCACCTATTATATATTCTTAAATCTTACAAATTCATCATTCTTTTGTTAATTTATTCAACCAGGATTTATTAAGCACCTAATAATATAGGTCATGCATGGTGGTATATCTGTTGTTGTTATGTGCCGTCGAGTCGGCCGCGACTCATAGCGACCCCTCCTTGGGTTTCCAAGGCAGTATCACTACGGAAGTAGATTGCCCATCTTCCTTCCAAGGAGTGGCAGATGGATTTGAACCACCAGCCTTCTGGTTAGCAGTCAAGTGCCTTAGGTACTACGCTACCAGAGCTCCCGGTGGTATATCTAGAAACTATTATCATTATACCCTATTTTACAGATGAGAAAACTGAGTTAAGTGATTTATCAAAGTCCACACATGTGAAACAGAATAATATATATTGGTAAAGAGTGTAAATTCTTGAGCCAGAATGAGTTTAGTCCTGGTTCCGCCATTTACTAGCTGTGAGACCTTGGATATGTTTCTTAACCTCTCTGTGCCTACTTTCTTCATCTGTCAAATGAGCATAATCACAGTACATATCTATAAAGTTGAAGCACTTACAATAGTGCTTTGCATACAGTTTTCAACAAGCGTGGCTACTATGAATTAGTAATGGAGAGTAGACAGTGGCTTCAGAACTTGAACTCAGACCTCTGACTCCACATTTATTCTTCTTTGCATCACACTGTGCTCCTTCCACAATATGACATGAAGTTGTTATATCTCTACAACATGAGGTCAAATTCAAACTCTGAAGTATATGCAGTACATTTTTTAATAATTATAATTATTGGTTCATAATGTATGTAATCACAGACAATCATCTGGGAAAATACAGTGATGATCCACTATTCTCTGTCTATCACTATAGAATGGCAAATAAAACGTTTGGCAGAGAACAATACATATGGTTGTGGGCAACAGAGCCTTAATGACAGAATATGATCCCCATAAGGAAATGTTTATGTGTGAGGAAAAGAATTCCTTCAGACCAGTGGACTCTGTAATACTGAGCAGAGGCTTCCTGATGTTTGTTTGCTGTCATCAAGACAGAGCAAATGGCCTGAAGCATCATGGGGATGCTTGCTTTCCCCCTAGGATACTTTCATTCTTTGAGTCTTTAAGCCAGCTATAAGGGCAAGTGTCTCCAAAATGCCTTTGGAGGCTAAAGGCTGTATTATCTAGTTCTAATGCAACAGTTCTCAGTCTTGGCTGCTCATTAGAACCACCTGAGGAGCTTGTAAAAGTTCCAGAGTAAAGGGCACACCCCAGACCAATTACATCAGAATCTCTGGGAGTGGGACCAGGCAGTAGTAGTTTTTTAAAGCTCCCCAGGTGATTACAATATGCAGCCTAGGTTTAGAACCAGTAAACCTTGGGAATAGCATGATGTCAGAAGTTACATGTTCCTTAGCTCTATACTGGTTGTGCCACATGCAGTTAAGTAAATTTAGGCTAGTCACTTAACTCTTTGTACCTCAGTTTACATTCTGCCTTGGTTTAAGTTGTTCTCAGTTTAATATGAGATAATATGTGAGAAAATAAAACATGGTAAGGCAAGTTGGTGCCATTACATTTCTTCAAAGCTGTAGCCCCGGCAATAGGAGGAAAAAAAAAAATCAGATAAACCTATGCAGATTTGGATCAGTGGTATATCATGGAAAAAGCAGAGTGGAAGCAATGCCCAGTGATTCTCAGCAAGGACAAGGAAAGCAGAACTATCTTATGGAGGCATTAAGAGGATGCTTTTCTACTGAAGATTACAAAACTGACACTAAGACAAGATGTGGTTCTTATTGTTAGTTGTCATAGAGTCAGCTCCAACTCATGGCCACCTTGTGAATAAGAGAAAAAAACATTGTATGGTCCTGTGCCATCTTCATGCTCATTGGTATGTTTTAAGTCCATTAATATATTAACAAATGTCATCATGAAAAAAATTTCTGAGTCACAATCTACTTATTTTAAATAATAGCCAATATTACAAAGTTTTAATATAAGGAGCAAGTTTAGAAAGTGTCTGAGTAATATAATATGATTTGACCTATGTAGTCTGTATTATTGCCACATATTAATAAGAAGCGACTTATTTTCAACTCTGAACCAGAATTAAAGAATGGATGCATAGCTCATTTTCCCACAATACTCTAATTTCAGTGCTTCAAGATTCAAATTTCATAGGAAATTATTATAAATGGAAGAAAATGGACCTAAATCACCCTAAAGAATGGCGTTTAAGGTAAATAACTTGAAGTGTTTAGAATCCCATCAACTTGAAGTGTCTGTTATTCTATTTCTTTGAACTGAACCATAAGAGGAGGGGGAAAAAAAAAACCTTTGGAAATAATCATTTATGCCCTTTTCTAAGCATGGGAACAAGAATGAAACATATTTATTCTTTTCATATGAACCCAAGTAGGAAATATCTTTGCTACCTATTGTCTACAGGGAGGAAGATAAGACATGAGCTGGAGTAAAGGAATCCCACAATCCTCTTCTCATTCATTCTCTTGTTCCTACCTCCATTGTCCTTATCAATCTATGCCTTCGAAATAGTAAAACAAACTTGTAAACTAATTATTTCACCAATTAGTTTTTTATACTTCTTATAGCTCCAAATATTTTTTTCCTCTTCCACACACTTCTCAGTGAGGAACCTAAAATATTAAATCTAATGAGCATATATTTAGGAAAGTACAAAAGTAAGTCATTACAATATCCAGAAATCATTGACACTTAAGATTAAAGAAGAAACTTTAATCTGCTTTTGCATTTCTTGACCTGGGTGATGTCTTTTCTGCTTTGGCGTGGTGACATGAAGATTCTGTCACACTTCTGTGGTAATGGCTATGTTGCAGTAGTCATTTATTCTGATATGCTTATTTCGAAGTAGTCAATGAACTGTTGTTCATTGCCATCAAGTCGATTCTGACTCACGGGAACCTCATGTGTGCAGAGCAGAATTGCTCCACAGGCTTTTCAGGCCTATGATCTTTCAGAAAGAGATCACCAGGCCTGTCTTCTGAGGCAAATCTAGGTGGGTTTGCTCTACCAGCCTTTTGGCTATCAGTAAAACACGTAACCGTTTATTACACCAAGGGACTCTTAGTCAATGAGTGCACTACCTTAAATCTAGAGGAATTAAAGATGCTATTTTTGTTTTACTTGTTTCTTAGCTCTTCAACTTACTGTCAGCAATTTGAACCCTTTTCTAAAAGGAAATATAGATTAATAAAAATAATACACTGGGTTTTTAATGTGGAGTCCCTAGGTGGTACAAACAGTTAACACACTCCATGCTGACCAGAAAGTTGGAGGTTCAAGTTCACTCACAGGTCCTCAGAAGAAAAGCCTGGTGGTCTACTTCTAAAACCATCAGGCATTAAAAATCCTGTGGAGCACAGTTCTACCCTGATACAATTGAGGTCACTGTGAGTCAAGGTTGACTCCACAGCAACTTCTTTTTTTTGTAATTTGTGTAGAAATCAAGGTTCTTAAAATATAATGCCTACCTTTTAATATTGTATTTTATACTGTTTTGTACAACTGGATTTTCTTTTTACAGTTTATTTCTCCAACAGCTTTCCTTCGAGGCAGCATGAGTAAATGTTTTTGCATCAGATACTTTTCTGCCTTCAGAATAAATTATAAGCAGTAGAAAAGATTTTAGTAAGCGGAATTTGAAGGTGTACAAGTATTTTAGTTTATTTTTTGAAGGCGCATTTCAGGTTTCTTTTATAGTTGAATATATCTACTTTGAATCTAAGGTTAATTTTGCTTTGCCATGACTCCCTTTTTTGTTCCCTTTAACAGAACTACTTTGTTTTATTTGTTTGATCGTTGATCCATTACAAATTGCCAGCATCCCATGGAACCCAAAAATTCAGAAAAAGTAGAGTCATGACATTTTCAACTTATCTACCCACTTTTACCTATGGCTAAAATAATTGTGAGCTGTTTGAGTGCTAGAACATTTTTCCAAATACATTTTCTTGAAGTTATAGGTCAAATTATCAAGTATATGCTCTCCCTGTCAGTATGAAACTCTCACACCTTATGCCATCTGGTGGTTGACAAGAGTATGTTTAGATCAGATGATATTTGCTGCTTTTAAATTTTCAAGTTGATTAGTCAAAAAATGCAGTATGTAGTGACTTATGCAAGTAGAGTTTTAAAAAGATATATTTACCTGAACTTTATTGGGGTACAGATATTTGAGTATGCAAATGTACAGAAGTATAGTAAAAGACTCAAGTATGGTAAAATTCAACTTCTTTTCATATAATTATTTGTAACTCTTATGTTCATCAAAGGAGCTCTGGTAGCATAGTGCCTAAGGCACTTTACTGATAACCAGAAGGCTTGTGGTTCAAACCCACCAGCCACTCCTCGGAAGGAAGGTTGGGCAATCTACTTCCGTAGTGATACCACCTGGGAAACCCAAGGAGGGGTTGCTATGAGTCAGATCTGACTCGATGGCACATAACAACAACAACAATGTTCATCAAAACATCATGAGGTAGTATAAAATGGGAAATTCATAAAGACACAAGGAGAAAATGAAGATCTATATAAGTGAATAATCAGTCAGTATATATTTGAAAATGCTTTCCATATACTGAAATTTCCTATTAAAAACAAATGAACAGAAAATGCAAATTGAGAGCCTCTCATCTTCAGAGGGGGAGCTCTGGTAGCATAGTGCCTAAGGCACTTGACTGCCAACCAGAAGGCTGGTGGTTCAAACCCACCAGCCACTCCTCGGAAGGAAGGTTGGGCAATCTACTTCCATAGTGATACTGCCTTGGAAACCC